CCCTCCGCCGCTGCAGCCCCCACCCGCCGCGTCGGTGCACCGAGGGCCAGCGCGCCAGGGCCCACCCAGCGGGGGCGGGATGACAAAGCACAAAGAGACAGCCGAGGACCACTACCCGCTTGGCCTGCACCCGGGCCAGCAGGCTTCAAAAAGAGGGCCCGCCGGTGCCAGCCACCGAGGCACGAGAACAGGGCTCTCATCCCCTTTGGGAGGGGGTGGCCCCGAGTGTTTCTGAGGGTTTAGGTGAAAATTGCGGCTCAGCTGTTCGGGAGAGGGGGAAATGGCCTTTGCACAGACTCGAGGAGGGGCGTGGAAGGGGTCCCAGCTCAGGGGCGCCCTTGGGGTCAGCAGAGCGGAGACCTCCCAGGGCCACTGGAGCCTCAAGCTCACCGTTTTGGAAAGGCTGGGCCCGGCCTCCCTTAGCAAAGGAAGGACCGTGTTACCAGACAGGTGAGGGGCAGGTAGGGGGCGTGTCCCTGCGCTGCAGAGGTCTGTCTTTCCCAGCCAGTGCTGGGGCGGTGTAGTGGCCAGTGTGATCGCCATTATGGTCTGTCGCCAGGCAGTGGACCTCAAGTAACCCTGAGTGGCCCAGATCTTTCAGGGGTTCCTGGCTGGAGAAGGCCCAGGTTCTTGGCGTTTGCTCCCAGGGGAGCAGCACCTGGGGCTCATTTTTGAATGGAAGGGGATTTGAGAGCTGGGGGGTCCTGGTACCCTGGACTCTGTTTCCCAAAGAAGACCCTGGCGCCCGGGGTGCTGCTTCATGCGCTCCCTCTGTTTGCTGCCTGGAGATGTAGGTGCCTCCACAGCTGCCCAAATGCCCCTGGGGCACCACTGTGCAATGGCTGTGCAGTACCTACCACAGGAACACTGTAGGCCTGACAGAGGTCAGCGGGGCTGGCCTGCTGCTGCTGGTCCTGGATCATAATAAAAGTCCCTTCTGCAGGAGTCCTTTCCGTGGTTTTCCTAGTGGACTCTGTGTCTGACAGATTTTTGTCCCACAAAAAATTTGTATTTATGTCTCCCCCTTTTATTAAGCAGACAGCACCTGCTCAGGGTGGGTGACCAGGTAAGCTCCCCTGGTGCAGCAGTCGGCTCTCAATCAATGGGAAATGTGTTTCCTTCAGGCTCTTTGAGGTCAGGGGAAAAATCATCCATTGGCCCTCAGGATCCTAGTGACAGATCACTAAGGGTTCAGGGCTAGTGGGGAGGAGGGACCTCTGGCCACATGGTTTCTTCCATCAGTCCCCACCCTGGCCATAAATTACAGGTGCCGCCCAGTAGGGACTCACAGCTCCTGGAGGATGGTGCGGATCTTGGCCAATGGGGAAATTGTTCAGGATGATGACCCCCGAGTGAGGACCACTACCTCGCAGAGAGGTAGCTCTCCTCGGCAGGTAAGCACCCATCCCCTGGGGCAGGGGAGCAGCTTGCCTTCTCCCTTGTTACTCCTTAGCTTCCAGAAGTCTCTCTTGCTGGTCTTTAGCCTTCTCTAGCCTGAAGCCCTCTTTGGAAAGAGCTGAGCTAGGGAGTGCAGAGGGTCAAGACAGTGGGCAAATGCTGTGGGTTTACTGCCCAGTCCCTGTCTCCCCAGTTCTCTCCCCTCTGGGCGATTTTCTCAGACTTTCCACCCAAGAGCTCTCTCTCCTCTCACCTGGCTAGTGAATCCTGCTGCAGTTGGTCTATTTTGAAAGTCTGTTGGATGGGAGAAAACCTGGAGAGTGAGGGGAAGAGTTGAGCCCATGGCCACAGAACTATTTTAAAGAAGGGAGTGCCCAAGAGCCGTGCCCATGCTGAGTAACCCCTGCCTGGTCACTTCTTGTCGTCTCTGTCCTGGGTGCCTTCTCCCCGGGCATTATATTGGGAATTCACACTGGCATTTTCTGTACTCTGAGAGCTTGTGATCCCATCGTTGAGAGTCTATGGGTGGCATCCAGGATTGCTAAGGAAGGAGGGAGTGGCCCACGGTGGCTGTCAAGGAGGGCAGGGCCCAGCCTGGAGTTCCCTCCTGGCTGGTGCCTCAGCTCCAGGACAGCCTTCTCTGGATTCATTTGTTTCTCTCTGTCTTCATCTTCCAGGGCTTTCTCAACAGGGGCCATGGTGTCCCCCCTGGGGGGACCGGCCCCCGCCCACAGCAGGCAGGTGCCAGGCTGGGGGCTGCCCAGTCTCCCTTCAATGACCTCAACCGGCAGCTGGTAAACATGGGCTTCCCCCAGTGGCATCTGGGCAACCATGCGGTGGAGCCGGTGACCTCCATCTTGCTGCTTTTCCTGCTCATGATGCTTGGTGTTCGTGGCCTCTTGCTGGTGGGCCTCGTGTACCTGGTGTCCCACCTGAGCCAGCGGTGACCTCGAGGGCTGACGGGGGTTGGTGTGTCGTTGAGAGGGACTTGCTGGGCCTTGGAGTTGGAGCAGGCATGTGGGGAGGGGACCATGGATTTGGATTGCAGGTATGGTGAGCGGGACCGTGGGTCAAGCCGGAGGCAGAGGGAGGCTCTAGTCTAGCATCCCCAAGCCTAGGCGGCCACCCTGGTTGTCTTGAGATGTTCGGGTGGTCTAGGGCCTCCATCAAGTGACACACAACCAGAACAAGACGTCCTCTTTCCAATTCTCTTTGATCCTTTCATGCCCAGAAGAAAGTCTTAACTTGGTGCCAATGTGTTGGAGGCCTCCGGGACCCGAGCTGCCTCCCCATGACTGGGGAGCAGTACTGGGGTCCAGGGCAGGTGGGAGAAGTTTCCAGACTTTTATAACACTGTTTTGTTTTAATGGTGTATTTTTATTGGCTACCTTTTATTTCTGATGAGGGGTACCGGCATTCTATTTATTGTGACATTTTCAATAAATAGATTTAAGTAGAAATGAGTCCCTGTAAAGAAATTTATTACTAACCATGCAGCTGCACAGATCTGGAAGGGATGGTGAAGGTGGCTGGGGGCAGCTGGGCCAGGGGTGCGGGGCGGCCGCTGGCTGATGGACCTAGCCTCAGATTCCTCGAGCTCAGGATCCACTGTGTCCACTGGGGGAAGACACAGGATGGGGGGCCAGGGCTGGGGGAGGACTGGCGGGGAGGTGGACACTGGTCCCACCATTCCTGAGGCCTGCTGTGCTGCCCCAACAGAACCTTCTCCTGCAGGCGCCACATCCTTTGCTGCCCTTAAGGGGGTGGTGGCCTTTACCACAGACATTCCCTGGGGAGCTTCACGTCACGGAACAGGTCTCCTTTCTCAAATAATGTTGCCGTGTCTTCATTTCTTGGCAGTGATTGGGACATATGTTCCCTTTGTGATGGGCATGTGGGGTGGTGTCTGGCTTTCACCATCCACTCTGGGGTCTGGGCAAGGGGAGGCTGGCTTGGCTAGTATCCCAGATGCTTCTTGTGGCATCTCCTGCCCTGGCATGGCCACCTGCCACTCACCTGGACTCGGCTCCAGCCGAGCCAACGGTAGGGAATTCCTGCCGAGCGCCCGTGGCGCCAGCTCCGCTCACCCCCAGCTCCCCTCGCCCTGAGCTTGTTTCTTTTCCCCTTTCACAGTGGACTCTCAATATAGAAGCGCCTCAGGGGCTGGGAATCACACTGGGGAGCACGTTCCTCAGGCCGCCTCTGCCCCAGATTCAGACTGGGCGGAGGCTCTGGCCTCGGTCTCCTCACTGGAAGGCAGGAGTGGGCGCTTTCTCCTCTCCCCACCCACCTCCCCACTGCTGCCTTGCAGACAGGAACCCCACCCAGAGGGCATACTTGGGGGGTGGCTTCTGCTCCTCCAGGGCTGAGCCTCCGTGGGACCCATCTTCCTGGGCAGGGAGCTCCTGCTTGTCTGACTTTTGTTTTTTCCTGCCCAACCTCCGAGGAGCAGCGGACCTTCTGGGACCTTTGTGCCACAAGTTTCAAGCCCTCGGTTCTCTAAGTTCTGCCTCTCTCCAGCTGGCCCTGGAGGTGGGGGCCACACTTCCATCTCCCCAGAAAGAGGCAGACGCCAAGCCTGAGATCCTAAGCAACAGTGGCTACGGTTTTGCTATGTCTTCCAGCTCCCTGTCCCTGGGATCAGAACGTGCCAAAGGTACTAACTGGGACTGGCCCTGTGAGTCCAGGGGAGGCCACGGCATGGTGGCTGGAGCCTCTGCTCGCTGGATGCCTGACCTTGCTGACCTTGACCTCCCATTTCTGTGGCCAAGACAGCCTGTTTGCAGGCCCTGCTCTGCGCTCTGTAGTACCCAACCTGGCACCCTTCACTCAGCCCCCTGAACGCTGGTTTCCTCGTCACTACCAAGGTTGACACTGTGGTCCTCCTGCCTCTCAGAGCCTTTTAAGAGGTCACCCAAAGCATGGAGGACAGGGCTGTGGAGATGATGACTGCACCAGTCCCTGAGCCTCCTTGCCCCACGGCTCCCAGGCCAGAGGCTTCAGCCCAGAGTGGCCACCATGTCCTGGGTACTTCGGGAACCCCTGGCTCTGGTAGTGCCAGGCTTTTGAGACTGGTGTCACCCTCCCCATCTGTTGGTGAAGTGCAGCTGCTTTGCTCTGCTCCTGGGAGCTGAGGGGCTTGTTGCAAGTCCCTGGTGTCAGGACGGGGGGATGTTTGTTGATCATGTGCAGTGCCTGACCCCCACCAGTCACTTTATACCACCATATTGTCTCTCAAGCCTTTCGGAGTCCACCCTCTGGGACATTCCTCTATTTGGCCTCTGGCTAGACTCACACTCACCCTACCTGGAACCCAGTTACAGAGGCAGATTGCCAGCCCCCTCCTGCAGGGACCCCGACATCAGCACTGTGAGGCAGAAGGCATAGAGGGAGGTGCAGGGGCGTGGCTGCCACTGCCCAGCCAGTGGCCTCCTTACCGTCCCTGCTCCGCTGCAGTCAGGAGGGGGCTGCAGCCCTCTCTCCTGCATTTTTAAGTGTGTCACAATCCATGGCAAACTGAGGAGAGAAATCTCTTTGCAAGGGTCTGGGAAGGGCTGTGCTGGGGTGTGGTCCAGGGCAGGAGGGGAGGGGACACTGGCAAAGGCTCTGCTGCCAAAACCAGATGGAGAGCCAACCTGCAGCTGTCCGGCGGGCCTCCTCATGCTACCACCCAGGCCCCAAAGGAGTGAAGAGAAAGTTCAAGACACAGAGGGTGAAGAGCTCCAGGGGCATTACAAAGGGAGCCGGTGTGGGTGTGGGTGGCGGTGTGGGTGTGGGTGGCGGTGATCCTCTGGTTGGGGCATGGAGGAGGGCTGAGACCAGATGGCTTTAGGGACCAGAGAGTGGAAGGAAGAAGCAGAAGCTGCTCAAGATGAAGCCTGAGAGCAGCTTCATAGCAATGCCCAAAGCAGCCGGACAGGGCAGCACAGGGCTGGGGCAGGGACAGCGGACTGGTCTCCACTCACCTTGCTACCCGCTCTGCCCTCTTGGTGTGCAGGGTTCCTATTCCCAGCTCCATCTCTTGTCAACCAGAGACCTCAGGCACGTCCCATCATCTCCCTGGCGCTCCGGGTCCACCTGCCTTCAGGGTGGAAGATCGAGGGTTATCACTCATCAGTTATCACTCATCAGTTCCAAAGCCACAAAGCAGTGGTCCTAAGAGTTAAAATTTTTTTAAGGCAACTTGCATTATATTTATTTTAAATTCACATTATACATTATTTTATAAAGGAGGCCTCATATCCCTCTGATAAATGCCAAAGCCAGCAAACTCGCCATTTCTAGTAGGTATTCACACAAGTAAGTCCGGGATGGATAAAACGGCTCTCTCGCATCAGGGTGTCCAAGGTTTAAGCCCGAAGCCTGCTTTCTTTGTTTAAAAAGCTTCTTCCAAGGACTTTTTAGAAGGGTGTTGAAGGCTCTCTAGCACCTTACCCAGACACTCCTGGATGGGCTCAGGGTACTGGAGAGAAACGAGGGAAGTGACTTTCTTTCTGGGTGACTCGGAGCTGTCTGTGAGCCGCCCTCCTCTTGTTCACCTGCCCAAGCACTCCTCACCCTGTCAGTCCTCACAGCGTCCCCTGAGCTGGGAAGCTCTGCGTGATCCTTGTCAAGCTGTTTAAAACAATTTAGTCTCCTTAAGGCATCTTTATGGACCAGGGATCAGGCCGTGCCTGTGTAGACAGAGAAGAGTCTCCCTCCCTCCAGGTCCCCTGCATCCATCCCCCTCCATCCTGCCACTGCTGTTCTTAGTGTCTTCTAAGTCCTTCTGGAACTCAGTTATTCAAATGTGAGCAAACATGAATCTTCTCATTTTTATCATTTTTTAATACACATCGTAGAATATCAGACACCTTTTTCTGGCCCTTCACTTTTCTTTTCTCTTGGCAACATGCCCTGGACACATTTCATACTGAGGAGCTTCAGAGTTGTCCCTTGTTTGGTCTCAGCAGTCATCTGTCCCATGGGAGGTGTCCCAGTTGACCCCCGAGGGCCTTGGCAGTGTGAGCCCTGGCCACTCAGTGGGTGGATCCTGACAGAAATGCCTTCACTTTTCCAGGGACCAAGGGGGAAGCTCCTGGGAGGTTTAACTGAGTCCCAGACCTGTCCCCCAGAAACACGTGGGTGCCAGAAGAAGTTGACCAAGCAGTAGCCTTGGAAGTTTCCGCCTGCTTGGTTTTCTGTCCCCATAGCAGTCAGGGTGTGATTTCTGCCCTCACCTGAAAGCTGCCCTCCTGTCATGCTGCACCCCAAAGAGGGCCGGGGACCCTTAACCACACTGACAGCGGTGACCCTCTCCAGGCCAGTTTCTAGAGGTTTTCTGCAGGCCCCTTCCTGCTCTAGAATGCAGAGATACTGGCTACTGGCCCAGCCTTGCCTAAAGGAGTATTTTTGTTTGGGTATCAGAGATGGAACTCAGGGGCATTTGATCAGTGAGCCACATCCTCAGCCCTGTTTTGAATTTTATTTAGAGACAAGGTCTCACTGAGTTACTTAGTGCCTCCATGTTGCTGAGGCTGGCTTTGAACTCCTTGATCCTCCTGCCTCAGCGTTCCCAGACTCTGGGATTACAGGTATGCACCACCGTGACCAGATAAAGCAGTGTTTAATAGACTGCTGTGGTCTAGCTGGGCATTGCCAGTGTTGCAGCGCCCCTTCCTCCGCCACCCTAATTTTGATGAATATCTGGATTAAAGGAGTTAAGGGAAGACACAAAGAGTGACCCACACAGGTCTTTAGCTGTGAACGGGCTGATAAATAGATTCCCTTGTACACCAAACCAGGAGACCCCAGCCAATTTGGCTTGTGGACCTGAGAGTTTGGAAAGTTAGCCCATGGCGCCACCTGGTGGACTATCTGGGTGGAAGCAGGACGTCCCTCCAAGGACCATCTCCTCCTCCTGCCCCAGGCCAGAGCTCTTCTCAGCCAGCCTGGGGTTGCCCTGACTTCCTAAGTTCCGTGATGATACTGCTGCAAGGTTTCTGGTGGTGAGTGTGAGCAGTTCCACAGTCATCCCTCACTGCGGCCTCGTCTGGGCCAAGCCTCATGCCAGGAATATTCACAGGCTGCATTTCAACTTCTTGCAAACAAATAGATGTCTTTCCCTTTTGATAGATGGACTGAGACTCACATAGATGAGTATAACTTATATATGGTTGCAGAGATGGTGGGCAGCATATTGGGGACCTGCCACACCAGTCCCCAGCAAACCATGAATCTGGGAGCCTTAGGGATGGGGTGTGGCTGGGGACCCCTGGAGAAGGATCTGTCATGGGTCACTGGGATTGTTCTCAACTGCCTTTTGGTATTTAAGTGTTCAGTTCAGGAGACAGGATGAGAAATGTTAGATTTGGTTATTTTTTAATCTCAGGGTCCCTGGTGTCCTATGACCCCTGCAGAGGGACTTGCTGACTCTTTAAGATGGGGTGCCTTCTAGGAGGTGGCAGGGATGGTATAATGTCTA